ACAATATAACATTGTGCAGGATTCCATAAATAATAACAGGGTCCAGTGCTGACCTGTACCTTTACAGGCTGGACCCCCCATTGCATCCATTCTTCATCCAGTGCAAGGTCTGGGTGTCATTATTCGAGCAATTATAGGCTGTGGAAATGGATCCTAAACAAATCAGTGACTTGATCCCTATTAGAACAGTTGAGAATCTGGGGAACACATATACACACACACCACACACCCCATCACCTTCAAACACTTGCAAGAAAACTGAAGCCCATCCTTTGGGGAGGGGATATGCCTGGAGGAGACTTCTGTCTTTTTTTGCCAGTGTACAATTTTATATAGGGCATAACCAATCACTTTTTATATAGGGCATAACTTCTAAAGGGCTTTTCAGTGTACTGTGTAGGTTTGTACGCGCTACCCTCTTGAGGACTACTTTTGTTTTGGGTCCCCCCCTTTTTTTTTTCATTACGGAAATAACTTGGATGGGGGTAATAAGCAGGGCTTTTTCCCCTCAGAGAATGGGTGCAGGAACTCCCCCTTCTTAGTCACTTCTTGTCTACAACCCCCCCCCACACCCACCTCCAAGTACCACCCCTTTTAGAAAAATACATATCCAAGTATCATTCTGTGGTGCTAAGTATTTTGTATACATTCAATGCTGGAGTTGCAGAGACTGCGTTCCCCCATGTAACCGCTGAAAAAAAGCCCTGGTAATAGGGATTATGGGATGCCAACTTGACAATCAATGCATACGGACAACTTCCTTCCTATAAACAGAAAAAAGATCCTGGTCCTGTTTGATCTGAATTAGGTCAGTCTTTACGGATCAGTAGCAAAAGCCCCTTTACAGGCTAGGGCATTCAGCCCCACTGAAAGTTAGCACAGGGTGCTGCAAACTACATTGGGAAGTATCTCCTCTTCCCTGTAGAGCTGCTCCCAGCTCCACAGCCTACAGACACTACCAGCCCTCCTAACTGCTCAGAAGGTCTGCTCAGGACAAGGATAAAGGATTAAGAACAGCGCGGTACTTTGACAGCTTGCTGCATGTGGTAGTCGCTCCCTTGTGAATCCCTGGGTGTGCTGATGTACTCACTCTGTCCTCCTTGCTCCCAGGCAATGATCCTGTTCATGCTGTGATGCTGAATGGATCCTCCTGAGCCAACCCAAGCCCAGGGTGTAGGCCAAGCCCCTCCTAACCTGGGGACCTCCGCCCAAGGTCACTGACAGCCTCCTCAGCACTTCATCTTCCACCGGACTCTACTGCCAGCTGACTGTCCCATATTTTAGGAATAGTCTTACCACACTATCAGGGCCTTCAAGCCTGGGATTGGACAGACTCTCATAAACATGCAGATTTAGGTTTCTGTCTGCCCCTTCTGCCCACTGGCTTCTGGAAGTTGCCATGGTCCTCCAGAACCAGTTGGAGGCGATAGAGGCCCAGCCTGCTGAATCACCCAATCTGACCTGCAGCAGTAAACTGACCCAAAAACAGACTCACACAGATTCTCTTAGATTGTAAGCTCCAAAGAGCAGGGCCCTCCTAACCCTCTTGTATTAAACTGTATTGATTTGCTGTATTGTCTCCCGTTGTTATTGTAAAGCGCTGAGCAAAAACTGTTGGCGCCAAAAAAAATCCTGTATAATAATAATAATAATAAAATACCCATAATAAATTTTACCTATACTAACACTAGTACAACCTAGAGGGTTCTACACCTGTGATGTACGATAAAGGAAATTTATATTTAGCTGAGAAAGGTGATAAGAAATCTCTATATACAATGTGATCTGATCTGTAGTCTACAAAACAGAGCCATTCAGAGTGGATCCAGAATCTAGCAGATCTCTTTCTCATCGGTGACTCAGTGTGACACTTACCTTACCCAGGTTTTGCTTCGGCTGTAATCCAGGAAATCCTTCAGATCAGTCAGGGTCTAGCAGAGGGGTCCCACGGAGAACATAAGAGATGCAGAGTAACGATGGAGGATTCATAAACCAAGATTTCCAGACATCTTCTGCAGGTGAGAAATGTAGCAGCACACAGTAACATACTGAAAGGATGAAGTCTCTGATAAGGTCTTTACTAGCCATGTTACGTCGGTGTTGTGGTTCTGAGTGAAGACAGTCAGGCACTCCTCGACTACACTCCTTCCCACTCGCTGTATCACTGAAACACAAGAGGAGGAAAAGTAGTAAGAAAGTCATTTTTTTATTCATGGATATAAATATAAAAGTGATATAAAGAAATGATGTATATGGATTCTGAAAGACATTCAGGACTGACAGCCATTTGTACCATTCCTGTCTAATAATAAAAAGTGTGGAGCACCAATATCTGAGAATACCATGGGGCACTCATGGACCACTGCCTAGGGAGCCACCAGATCTTAGAATTGGCCATTTGTCATATTTTTTAATTCTCATATTAATTTTCTTCTCTTTTCTGTTCTCCTCTGGAGAATTTGGGTAAATTCAGTAAGATAATCTCTTATGGAGATGTTCAGAGGAGGTTAAAAAGACTCATTAAGTTCAAGATGCATGAAAAACAATATATCATCCAACTTACAATTAAGCAAAGGAGACAGATAACAGGAAGCAGAAACGACACCCCCTATCCATGGAGTGATCCCAGCTGTCACCAGAGTTGGTTGTGGGCCAGCTCAGTGGATTGCTGTAGGAAAGTCCTGGATTCTTTCTTGGATACACAGAATATAACTGGATATAACATTTATAGGTAACATTGATCCAGGGAATATCTGATTGCCTCTCGGGGGATCAGGAAGGAATATTTTTTTCCCTGCAGGAGCAAATTGGATTGTGCTTTGCTGGTTTTTGCCTTCCTCTGGAGTCAACTGTGGGTCTGAAGGATTATAATTTTTTTTTTTTTTAATGGTTGAACTGGGATGGAGTTTTTTTTTCTTTTTTTCAGCCCACCGACTATTTATGTGACAGTTATAATGCAGAGGAAGCTGCTATCGTCATTCTTACCGACCTGCGGCGGCAGGCTCGGGCTGTCAAACAGCTCCAGCGGCTGCTTCCAAGGTTCGGCTCCCACCCACTGTCAACGACAAAGTGTTTCCAGGGTACCACCCTCCTTCTGAAGCTTGATGTCAGGAATGGACTTGCCAATAAATGGTGGGACTCACCTGCCTTGTGGGCTGCAGTACCAGGGCTGGCCAGCGGGTGCTCACTCAGCAATCAGAGACTCAACCCTTGCAGTCAGCCAAACAACCTGAAGCTGATTACGGGGGTTGTATTTAAGGGATGGCCAGCACTCACAGGGCCTTGGTGTGTGATTTTTTTTTTTCATGGGCCATGTATCTTGTATCCTGTATTTGCCTGTTCCTGTTCCTGTTTCTGTCTGACTTGTTGCCGACCCTGCCCTGACTCTTCTCCTGTTTGATCCCTGGCTTGTGACCCTGACCATTCTCTGCCTGACCCCCTGCACCGCGCTGCCCGTGAGTTACTGAACCAGCTTGTGACCCCGACCACTCTCCCGCCTGTTCCTGGTACTCCGTTTGCCCATTTGCTACTGACCCGGCCTGCCTGACGACTCTTGCATTGTATGTATTGTTATTGTGGGTGGTTTGGTTTGGTTTGTTTGCACTGTCTTTAGGTTTAGTATTGCACTGCGTTTTGTATTGTTAGTCTTAATAAATTATATTGTTTATAACATATCTGAAGCATGCGCTTTTCCCCTGTGTCAGTCCACACACCTCTGGTCATACCCTGATTACTGACACTTGACATATATCATACACTACTGGGCTTATAAAGGAGGCCTGCTATGTAGCCAGTGCCAGGACAAGGTCATCCAGCGCCAAGGGCAAAGATGTCAAACAGCGCTCCCTCCCCCACCCTCCGGTTCATAATATGCAAGCTTTGGGGATCCTATGCCCACCAGTCACTCACTTGTCAAAATCATTGCTCCTGTCAGCCTGGTAACAGAAGGAAGGCGCCCTCATCCCTACATTGTGCCCAGGGTAGTCCGCCCCTCCTTCCCATCCCTTGTCCTGGCCACAGAAAGTGGGGGAGGATCTGGATTGATGAACCTGCCCATACATATTGCTATGAAAACTATAACCAAAAAAGCAAATAATTGTCAATAATCAAATACAATGTAACTTGTTAGAAATAGACATTAAAACAAAGCCAACTGAGCACAATACAATAAGCACCTGGGGCAATACTATACGTTTAGAAAGTTTTCTTTTCCATATTGGGTGATGGTGACTTTTGTGGAGAAAGAACAACAGAACAATATTTTAAATGGTCTGGAGTGGCCCTAGGAAAGCTAGAATACATTTTTTGGAATACTGCAATAATGATACCTTGGGTCTGGGCCTTTACGTATGTAGTGGATGAGCAAACTTTAATCTCTTTTGAATCTGAAACCTACCCATGATGAATCAGAATTATTACTACAAACCCAATTCAAGCCCACTGGTGGTACTTCACATCTCCACAACATGGAGTAACAGCCAAAAGCAACATCTTAATAAATGGATTTAGAGAGATACAATACTTAGTAAGCTGATTATTGAAGCTTTTGAAAGTTTTTTAAGGGCATCCCACTGGATAGAAGAGTTAGAGAAAGATGGAGAGAGGAGAATCCAAGCAAGTTCGGTTCAATTACGCAGTTCAAACCGTAATCACAGAGCTATCAAAAAGAGGAATTGCTTCATTTTGCAACAGGATCCTAAACTTGGACCTGTACTAATGGAAATAGTTCAATATCATTTTAAAGAAAGCCTGAAATATTAAGAATACAAAAGTTAATTAGTGGGACATACCTCATGCAACAAGAACAATTTGTTTGACAAAAGAAAATACATTTAAAAAAAGCACAAGAAATTAAATCCTTAAAACGTTACTAAACCCTGGACCCCTCATTCACTATATCCGGTCTCCTCGGACCCTAGATTCACTATATCCGGTCTCCCCCCCGGACCCCGCATTCACTATATCTGGTCTCCCCCGGACCCCGCATTCACTATATCCGGTCTCCCCGGACCCTGCATTCACTATATCCGCTCTCGACCCCGGACCCCGCATTCACTATATCTGCTCTCCCCGGACCCTGCATTCACTATATCCGCTCTCCCCCGGACCCTGCATTTGCTATATCCGCTCTCCCTGGACCCTGCATTCGCTATATCCGCTCTCCCCAGACCCTGCATTCACTATATCTGCTCTCTCCGGACCCCGCATTCACTATATCTGCTCTCCCCGGATCCCGTATTCACTATATCCGCTCTCCTCGGACCCCGCATTCACTATATTTGCTCTCCCCGGACCCTGCATTCACTATATCTGTTCTTCCTGGACCCTGCATTCACTATATCCGCTCTCCCCCGGACCCTGCATTCACTATATCCGCTCTCCCCGGACCCTGCATTCACTATATACTCCGCTCTCCCCGGACCCTGCATTCACTATATCCGCTCTCCCCCGGACCCCGCATTCACTATATCCGCTCTCCCCGGACCCTGCATTCACTATATCCGCTCTCCCCGGACCCGCATTCACTATATCCGCTCTCCCCGGACCCCGCATTCACTATATCCGCTCTCCCCGGACCCTAGATTCACTATATCCGCTCTCCCCCCCGGACCCCGCATTCACTATATCCGCTCTCCCCCGACCCCACATTCACTATATCCGCTCTCCCTGGACCCCACATTCACTATATCCGCTCTCCCCGGACCCTAGATTCACTATATCCTCTCTTCCAGGACCCTGCATTCACTATATCTGCTCTCCCCGGACTCTAGATTCACTATATCCTCTCTTCCAGGACCCCGCATTCACTATATCCGCTCTCCCTGGACCCTGCATTCACTATATCCGCTCTCCCCCGGACCCCCATTCACTATATCCGCTCTCCCTGGACCCCCACATTAACTATATCCGCTCTCCCTGGACCCCACATTCACTATATCCGCTCTCACTCCCCGGACCCCGCATTCACTATATCCGCTCTCCCTGGACCCCGCATTCACTATATCCCCTTTCCCCGGACCCCGCATACACTATATCCGCTCTCCCCGGACCCTGCATTCACTATATCTGGTCTCCCACAGTACACAGAACATGGAAATGCAATTATTTTAGTAAATATAAACTGCTAAATACCTTTTCTCATCAGCAGTAGAATAACTCCCATTAGTCAGTCCACCCCTCACATTTTTGTAAATATTGTATTGTATCTTTTCATGTGACAACACTGAAGAAATGACACGTTGCTACAATGTGACGTAGTCAGCGTACAGCTTGTATAACATGGAAATTTGCTCTCCCCTCAAAATAACTCAACACACCGCCATTAATGTCTAAACCGCCAGCAACAAAAGTGAGTCCACCCCTAAGTGACAAAGTCCAAATTGGGCCCAATTAGCCATTTCCCCTCCCCAGAGTCATGTGACTCGTTAGTGTTACAAGGTCTCAGGTGTGAATGGAGAGCGGTTGTGTTACATTTGGTGTTATCGCTCTCACTCTTGCATACTGGTCACTGGAAGTTCAACATGGCAGCTCATGGCAAAGAACTCTGAGGATCTGAAAAAAAGAATTGTTGCTCTACATAAAGATGTCCTAGGCTATAAGAAGATTGCCAAGACCCTGAAACTGAGCTGCAGCACGGTGGCCAAGACCATACAGTGGTTTAACAGGACAGGTTCCACTCAGAACAGGTCTCGCCATGGTCCACCACAGAAGTTGAGTGCACGTGCTGCTCAGCGTCCTATCCAGAGGTTTCTTTGGGAAATAGACGTATGAGTGCTGCCAGCATTGCTGCAGAGGGTGAAGGGGTGGGGGGGTCAGCCTTTTAGTGCTCAGACCATACGCCACACACTGCACCAAATTGGTCTGCATGGCTGTCATCCCAGAAGGAAGCCTCTTCTAAAGATGATGCACAAAAAAGCCCGTAAACAGTTTGCTGAAGACAAGCAGACTAAGGACATGGATTACTGGAACCGTCTCCTGTGGTCTGATGACACCAAGATAAACTGATTTGGTTCAGATGGTGTCAGGCGTGTGTGGCGGCAACCAGGTGAGGAGTACAAAGACAAGTGTGTCTTGCCTACAGTCAAGCATGGTGGTGGGAGTGTCATGGTCTGGGGCTGCATGAGTGCTGCCGGCACTGGGGAGCTACAGTTCACTGAGGAACTGTGACGGGAGTCACTTTGGGTGGGGGGGGGACCCCAACACAGCCCCCTTTAGAGAGGTGGGGAGACCCCTGTCTCAGCACCCCATATCCCTCTTATGTGTAAGTCACCCTGTGCCTGTTAGGGGTACAGGGTGGAATGTCCTGCTATTGTGTAGACATGTATAGGTGGTTGTATCCCATTGTTCTATTGTGTGTCCTTGCTTGGGAGCAAACAATTATGGGATGTAATGTGTTTGTGTTTTGGCTTGGTGGGGGGTGTTTGCTGTGTGTCTCTTGTTACTAAATGTATTGCCCCGCCCTGTGTATATATCTTGTATCTGTGTTAAAATAAAGCAGTCTATCTCCTGGTTTACTTCAAGTCTGGTGCTGTCTCCTCTTGTATGGTCAGCGGTGGTGTCAGTGGATCTGTGTTCGGACAGGGAAGCGGGAGTCTAACGGAAATACCCTAATGCAGTCGGGGTCCGGTTCCGTTACAGGAACCATGAATGCCAACATGTACTGTGACATACTGAAGCAAAGCATGATCCCCTCCCTTCAGGGACTGGGCTGCAGGGCAATTTTCCAACATGATAACGAGCCCAAACACACCTCCAAGATGACCACTGGCTTGCTAAAGAAGCTGAGGGTAAAAGTGATGGACTGGCCAACCATGTCTCCAGACCTAAACCATATGGAGCATCAGTGGGGCATCCTCAAACGGAAGGTGGAGGAGCACAAGGTCTCTAACATCCACCAGCTCCGTGATCTCGTCATGGAGGAGTGGAAGAGGACTCCAGTGGTAACCTGTGAAGCTCTGGTGACCTCCATGCCCAAGAGGATTAAGGCAGTGCTGGAAAATAATGTGAGGGGTGTACTGTATATAGCAGTCTTGTGACGTCTATCAGTGCCCAGCCCAGCACTAGCTAAAGCTTGTAGGAGGAGTTTTTTATTTCTGCTCTAGGAGGATGGAAATCCCCTGACCTCTGTCTGGACAATGCTGATTGGCACTGTGCTAATCACATGCACTCTCCCAAAAAAAAACAAAACTCTAGCAATACACACTAAACTGAGCATGCGCAAGAAGGGCTATAGGTTCTGTCTGTATCAGGTGGTCATTTCAACAAGAGGAGGGGCAGAGAAGTCAGGATCAAACAGCATTTTTTACAAAATGCAGAGGATCAATCCTGCAGTATAATAATCAGTATAAACTGTTATTCTGGCCAATAGAATGCATTAACACCAAACTCAATTAACCGCTTCCCATCCGCCCTATAGCAGAAATACTGCTACAGGGTGGCAGGGGCGCGCAAAATCACACACACATATATATACAGTGAGGGGATCGAAAGTTTGGGCACCCCAGCTAAAAAATTTGTATTAATGTGCATAAAGAAGCCAAGGAAAGATGGAAAAATCTCCAAAAGGCAGCAAATTACAGATTAGACATTCTTATAATATGTCAACAAAAGTTAGATTTTATTTCCATCATTTACACTTTCAAAATAACAGAAAACAAAAAACATGGCGTCTGCAAAAGTTTGGGCACCCTGCAGAGTTAATATCTTGTACTGCCCCCTTTGGCAAGTATCACAGCTTGTAAATGCTTTTTGTAGCCAGCCAAGAGTCTTTCAATTCTTGTTTGAGGTATCTTTGCCCATTCTTCCTTACAAAAAGTCTTCCAGTTCTTTGAGATTTCTGGGCTGTCTGTCAAGCACTGCTCTTTTAAGGTCTATCCATAGATTTTCAATTATGTTGAGGTCAGGAGATTGTGAAGGCCATGGCAAAACCTTCAGTTTACGCCTCTTGATGTAATCCCCCGTGGATTTCGAGGTGTGTTTAGGATCATTATCCATTTGTAGAAGCCATCCTCTCTTTAACTTAAGCTTTTTCACAGATGGCATCAAGTTACCATCCAAAATTTGCTGAAATTTTATTGAATCCATTTTTCCTTTACTCGTGAGATGTTCCCTGTGCCACTGGCTGCAACACAACCCCAAAGCATGATTGATCCAACCCCATGCTTAACAGTTGGACAGAGGTTCTTTTCATTAAATTCTGTGCCCCTTCTTCTCCAAACGTACCTTTGCTCATTCCGGCCAAAAAGTTCAAGTTTAACCTCATCGGTCCACAGAACTTGTTTCCAAAATGCATCAGGCTTGTCTATATGTTCATTTGCAAAGTTCAAACGATGATTTTTGTGTGAGGACGTAGAAGAGGTTTTCTTCTGATGACTCTTCCATGAAGACCATATTTGTACAAGTATCTCTTTATAGTGGAATAGTGTACCACAACTCCAGTGTCTGCCAGATCTTTCTGGAGGGATCGTGCAGTCAAACTTGGGTTTTGAATTGTTTTTCTCACAATCCTGCGAGCTGTTCTGTCTGATATTTTTCTTGGTCTTCCAGATCTTGCTTTAACTTCCACTGTTCCTGATGACTGCCATTTCTTAATTACATTCCGAACAGAAGATATTGACATCTGAAAACGCTTTCCTATCTTCTTATAGCCTTCTCGAGCTTTGTGAGCGTCAACTATTTTCAGTTTCAGTTTTCTAGACAACTGCTTAGAAGAACCCATGGTGCTGATTGTTGGGGCAAGGTCAGATGAGTCTGGGCATTTAAAACCTTTGAGATTGACATCACCTGGTCTTCCCAGACAATGATTGAGAAACAATCCATGAACACTGGCAGGTCTCAGCTCTGGCAAAGGGGGCAGTGCATGCTATAAATTCTGCAGGGTGCCCAAACTTTTGCAGACGCCATTTTTTTGTTTTCTGTTATTTTGAAAGTGTAAATGATGGAAATAAAAATCTAACTTTTGTTGACATATTATAAGAATGTCTAATCTTTAA